AGAATAGGAAAAGAATAAGTTAAAGTATCATTGTTTGCAGATGACATGATACTCTACATAGAAGACCCTCAAAACTCTATTGAAAGACTCCTAGGTATAATAAATAAATTCAGAAATATTACTGGATACAAAGTCAACATTCAAAAATAAATAGCATTCCTATACATTCCTAACAACAGAATCACTGAGAAATAAGAAAAGCCATACCCTTCACAATAGCATCCAAAAAAATGAAATACTTAGAATCAATCTAACAAAAGAAGTAAAAGATCTATTCAGGGAAAATTATATTACCCTAAAAAAGAAGTTGAATAGGATCTCAGAAAATGGAAAGACATTTCTTGTTCGTGGATAGGAAGGACAAATATCATGAAAATGGCCATTCTCCCAAAATTGTTATGCAGACTTAATGCAATCCCAATCAAAATACCACTATTATGCCTCACTGACCTAGAGAAATCACTCCTAAAATTCATCTGGAACCAGAAGAGGCCTGGAATAGCAAAGGCAGTTCTGAGCAACAAAGGCAGGGCAGGAGGCATCACAATCCCTGACTTGAAGTTATATTACAAAGCTATTATAATAAAATCAGCATGGTACTAGAATAAAAATAGACCTGAAGATCAATGCAACACATTAGAAGATACAACTAACAACTACAAACACACTCAACCACCTTATCTTTCATAAAGGGGCCAAACACATTCACTAGAAGAAGGATAGTCTCTTTAATAAATGATGCTGGACAAATTGGTTCTCCATATGCCAAAAAAGTAAAGCTAGACCCATGCCTATCACCATGTACTAAACTAATGTCAAAATGGATCAAAGGCCTAAATATTAAGAAACACTAAATCTGCTGGAAGACAAACTAGGTAAAAATCTTGAAGACATAGGGGTAGGAAGAGAGCTCATGAACGAAAGTCAAACCACATGAGAAATACTTCCAAGAATCAATAACTGGGATCTCATCTTATAAGAAATCTCCAACAGAGTAAAAAGGAAACCCATGAACTTTGAAAAAAATCTTAGTCAACTGTCCCTCAGACAAAGGACTTCTGTCTAGAACATATAAAGAATTTTTTAAAAATCAGACCCCCAAAATTCAAAGACCCAATCCAAAAATGGGCATCTGAGATGAATACACACTTCTCAGATGAAGAAATACGAGTGGTAAATAAATACATAAAAATATTCAGCATCATTGGTCGTTAAAGAAATGCAAATTAAAACCACACTGAGATTCCATCTCACTCCAGAAAGAATGGCCAGGATAAAGAAAACTACCAAAAACAAATGCTGGAGAGGCTGCAGGGAAAAAGAAACTCTTCTGCACTGTTGGTGGGATTGTAGACTGGTACAACCATTGTGGAGGTCAGTCTGGAGATTCCTCAAAAGACTGGAAGTGGAAGTCCCATTTGACCCAGCTATTCCACTTCTGGGCATATTTCCAGAACTGAAAACATCATACTACAGTGATATGTGTGCACTCATGTTTATAGCAGCACAATTTGAAATAGCCAGATAATGGAAACAACCTAAGTGCCCATCAACTGAGGAATGGATAAAAAAGTTGTATTTTTATGCAATGGAGTACTACTCAGCTATAAAGAATGATCACATCGAGATATTTATAAATAAATGGATGCAGCTTGAGACCATACTCATAAGTGAAATAAATCAAACTCACATGAGCAAATACTGTATTGTCTCCTTAGTGTAAGAAATGGTAAGAGTACATAATATACAAAATCCTCAATAAATACAGTGAAAGGGTAAGAATCTGCTCGAAGGAGAAAAAAAATAACATCTCAGGGAAAAGAAGGAAAAAGAAAAAATATCTAAATTTGTATAAACACACTTGGGATAGCTGAGAAGATTGTGCTACAGATTCTACAAGTTTGTGGAACAAAACAGTTAACATCCATAGGACTGGAACAATTTTGTATGTTTGTGTCTGGTGATCTAAGAAACCCTTGAAGATCACTATGTAAAACAACCTTAGTTATGTTCCCAGCACCTTGTTTTGAAGGCCTGTATCTTCATTGTTTTGGGCGTTTTGCTATTGTTATTTGTCTTTTTTGTTTCTTGCTTTTCTAGTAATCTTCTTTACTTTGTTTTGTTTTGTTTTTCCCTCTAATACAGAAAGGATAAGTATACATTTAGAGACTTAAAATTGCCTAAACTTCTCCTAAACGGTTTACGAGAATTGATTATCTTATGTGTGATTGAAGAAAAAGAGACATTATGGTATCCACTGCTGATTCCATGTCATCATGCTGTGAAATCCAGTAATCCACTCTTTTTTCAGAGTGATTTTAGTCTGTTTTGAATTGTTTAATTTCAACATACATGGACAGCTATTTTGAAGAGAACAAGAGACATTATGGCAGCCATTGCTGATTTTCCTACTGTCTGGTTTTGAAGGCCTGTGATGCCTTCACTACTCTGTTCTAATCAGTTTTATACTATTTTTTGTATGAATTCATTGTATGTGAAGATATAGACAACTATTTAGAAGAAAAAAAGAGACATTATGGTAGCCACTGTAGACTTCTGTTATCTTGCTTTCAAATCTGTGTCACTTACATTGTTTTCTTCTGATCTGCTTTGTTCTGTTTTGTTATGTTTAGTTTTACCCTCTTTAAATTTAAAAAAAAAAAACCCTAGTAAGCCAGGCACAGTGCTTCTCCCCTGCAGCACCTGCACTCCGGGAGGCTGAGGAAGAGCAGAGCTCCCGTGCAGACTCCGGGCCGTTGCAGGACACTTGTCCCAAAGCGCCAGGAGAAGGGAGAAAGGCAGAGAAGTACATTCAGCACAGGAAGCACAGATGAAGCGGTTCATCACCTGGTTTTCAGAGGCTGACAGAAGCTGTGGGACAGACAGAAAAGGGGAGTAGGGGTGCGGGTGGGGCTTTGCACAGCTGGCCGCAGAGGGGACCTCCGCCAAGTGGTGGGCGGTGCTATCTCAGCACTGGCTCTGTGAGGTTCTACAGCCAGCACTGCTTGAGGGACAGTTTTGTGTCCCTCAGGAGATGAGGACCCTACACTGAGCCCGCAGCCTCAAGTTCTATCATGGGGTAACTGCTCTGCCTTGGGAGTCACCTGTTAGGCTGTGGTCTCCCGGACTCTGAGGTGGCTGCAGGTTTAGCACAGTGGCTGGAGACTTCTGTCCATCTTTATTCCCTGCACAAGGCACTGTCGCCACCAAAAAGAGGTTTGTTTTCCTCTGCCACCTTCTGTCTCATCCTTCCCTCCTTCCTCTGCCCCACACTCTGTCCCAGACTTTTGCAGCAGCTCTGGCCACCGAGATGCCCTCAGGTTCTGCTGACAACCCAACAATGTGTGCTCCAAAGGCTCAGGGGCCCTCAGCTCTGCTCCTGATCATTTCCTGCCTTTTAGGAGCATTGATCTTGGCTTCCACCTCGGCTTGCTTTAGTCCTGCAGCCCACTCCAAGGGATCAATACGAAGCTTTCATGCTAGTATCCTAGGACTCACATTCTGTCCATTCCAGGTCCCTGGGTTGCTCCTCACGGCCTCCGTAAGCACTGTGGAGACCGTGGAGAGCAGAAGTGTTGAGGCAGGGGCCTGGCAGAGGTGGATTTGACCAGGGTGCTCGCACAATGTGGGCTGAAGAAGAAAAGCCAGCAAGAGCTTGCACTGTGGTGAGGTGGGGAGCCAAGGTGGACCACACAGTGACATCGGCCAGTCCGAAGGGCAAACTCCCAGCACAGAAGGTTCCTGTGGGATTGTCCATGGGACAGAGAGAAAGGAAAAGGACGAAGGGAACAAAGCAAGAGGAAGAAAGAGGATAACTGCACACACAAACAGGCACGTGCAAAGACTTTCAATACGTAAACTGGAAAACAATCGGAAATGAAAATTTTCTGGAAAAGAACATGTGACAGTTAGTTAACTGTTGTGTCCCTCAGATTAGCAAATCTGGGTGTTGCTGAACAGATTTAGTGAGGACAGAAGACCTGCCCTAGTGTGGGTGGCACCAGCCAGTAGGCTCCTGCCCTGAACAGAATGCAAACAGGGAAGAAGACGCAAACTGGCTTCTGTGCCTCGGGAGGAGCTCAGGACCTCCCCGGCACCATGGGACCTTCACGTCCAGCTCCCAGCACCAACTCCAGTGGAACACCTTCCAGCTTCCTGTGGGACTCTGTGGTGAGCTCCAGGTCTTCCACCTCTGACTGGGTCACTAGACCTCCCAGGGTATGATACCCAACTCAAGTGGTCCCTGGGCGTCCACCCTGTAAATATTGTATTATATTCTATTATTACATCTGTTACTCCAATTAGCACAGATTGATAAAGTAAAAACTATAAGACTTGGCACAAGCATAAATAGAAAGCTGAACTAGACCAATACACCAAGAACATAAAATTGTAATTAAGATCTCATATGCTAGGAAGATGTGACCTAAATGTAGATCGATCTAGAAAATCAAAGGAAGACTTCACAGACACCATTCTAAGTGCAACTGGCTGCTGTGGCTTGGATAAGTGTATCCCCAACACACACACACACACACACACACACACACACACACACACACGAAAGGTGTGGTTCACCCCCACAACTGGGAGACCATCAGCTTCTGAGCAGTGTGGTCTGATGGGAAGGGGCTGGGGCATCAAGGGCCTGCCCTGCAGGGCATCATGTAGCTAGGCCTGCCCCTTTTCTCTCTGGCTTCCTGGTCACCTTGAGTTGACCAGTTTGCTGAACTATATTTCCTCCTCACCGACCCAAAAGCGGTGGGGCTGAGCAACCACAGAGAGCCTGATTATTTCAGGCATTTGTCACTATGGTGGAAAGCTGTGGACTGGCTAATGAAATAGCCCCAAAAATATGGGTCTCAGAATATGGGTCAGTAGGTCCAAACCCACAACATCAGCAAGAATCTCACAGCTGTGTGGGAGCAACTCAGGACAAACAAATGCTCATCTGCAGACTGCTAGAGCCAAGAAATTTAGAAATCACTGCGGTCACTTACCACAAGAGGAAAGGGTCCATGCAGGCCAGAGGATCCTCAACTAGCCAATATTTGCACTGTAGCCAAACTGGAGGAACTTCTCAGGTTCCGATTTGTAGGTGCGTTGCCTGTGCTTTGAGATGGGGGTGCTGGAAGGCTGGGGTTGGTCTAGAAGCCCAGGAAAGCACAGATCCTGCAGTGCAGAGAAATGCTAGGAATGGAACACAAGCTGATCAGGACATGAACACTCAGGGCAGGGAGGTAAGAATTTTCAGGCATTATCAGGAGAAAGGGTCGGAGAGACAAATCTCAGAGAGAGGAGTTCAGGGTCAAGAAACTCATTAATACAACTTATCACATAAATAGAGCTAAATAAATTGTCACTCTATGGATACCAAAAAGAAAGTTCAATACCCATCTTAAATATAATCAATAAAATAAAAATTGAGGAATATTTTCTGAACACAATAGAATATAAATATTCACAGGCCCAAACTGGCATCTAACTTAATATGAAACTTCCAGTAAAAATGACTGTTTATTAATTCATGTATTAGATAGGTAATCTTCACTAACCTCTCATGCATATTTAGCTTTTCCTTTAATTATTAACAAACCACAGGATTGGGAAAATTACCCATGACTCTGTCACTAGTAGAAATCACGTATGTTCTAGAATCACTCTGCAGTTGACATTTCAAAGTACCATTTTGTGTTCATTAGACCTGAAACTATCACTCTACTTAATGAGTGATAATTCTTCAATAACTATTTCAGGGGACACAGGAAATAACCTCATGGGGTCCTGTACTCTCTATGGGCAATGAACTCAGGACAAAGATCTCCACTGTCCGCACTGGTGAAAAGGATTTTCAGGCCAGAATGTGAACAAGTCTTCATAACAGAACCTATTGCTGCCTTGCCCTCCTGTGCCAGATCTTTCCCCATCACACACACACACACACACACACACACACACACACACACACACACTCAAAGACAGACAAGGGAAGGAAGCCAAGGAAAAGGAAAGAGAGAACTAATCCATTGTACAATGCATCCACCTGTACCCAACCTTTCAAACCCTGAGGCCTTTCTGGTTGCAGGTCCCACTTTGTTGGCTTCCCAGAATAATTCAAGCAGGCCTCAGCAACAGGTCCAGCAGCCAGAGGGCCTCAAGGAGGGGTGGGGGCCAATGGGGTGCATCATGGGGGCCTGGGGGTTGGGAGCCCAACAGACACTTCCTTGGGCTTTGCTCAGCTTTCCGGACAAGCTCTGGTCCCTCTGCAGACATCCCAGCCCTGGGACCTCTTACCGTTTGTCTGGGGTCTGGTTTCTCGTGGAATTTAACACTGCCCCCCACTCCAAGCTTGAGAAGGAAAGGAGCTGGCTCCACTGTCCTGGCTTGCAGCAAGTCACTGAAACTACAAGGCTGCAATGTTGTGTTTGACCTGGCAACAAAGACAACCACTCCTTAGTGAAATCAGGCACATTGAAATATTTCAGGGGGCCAAGCTGCTATATGCAACTTTATTAGAAAGTTATAAAGGCAGGAAATGAGACATAACAAGCAACTTCACCTAAAAACATTCAAATAACATTAAAACACGTGCACCACGAAGCAAGCCAAACAAGGCAAGTCAGCAGGCTCTGTTTGGACCCAGGGGCCACAAGTTTGCAGGCTCAGGCAATTCCTGCTGCCCCTAAAAATGTCTGTCCTGTGGGAGAGCTTTGTCCTAATTAAATCTCTGTGTGTGACATTACTTTGTATCTGTAATCTGGACTGTTGCTTTGTATCTGTAACCTGGACTGCGGGCTCCTTCTGCCCCTTGGGGAAGCTTTCTGCTGCCCTCTACCTGGTCAGTTCCCCACCTTCCCTCTCACCAGTTCGGCTCCTGGCAGCCCCGCCTGGCTTCTGAGCAGTGACCCAGGTCAGCACACCCTCCTGCAAGAGCTCAGGCCTCTCTCCTGCAAGCACACGCAGAACTGCGGCTACAACCAAGCCAAGAAGGCTGCAGGGAGAATCTAAATATAGTTACCAGTCAGGTGCAATTTCCGTGCTGAACAGAGAATTCCAGTGTATGGTAGAATTTTTTTTTTAACTGTTGGAGTAAAACACATAATTGTGAGGTTCATTCATGAACCAATTCTTTTATATAACCCATGCTTATTTTAAAATATCCTTGTCATTTGACAGTCTACAGAAAGGTAAGTTGACTAGAGAGTCAGCATTAGCACTGTCTGCAAATTGCAGGTTTTAATAGCTCTCGTCACAGCCATAGAAATAACCAAAGAGAATCAAATTAAGAAAGTGGAGCAATCCAGAAGAATCAAAAGAAAGGAGGAATTCTTAGCATTTATGCAATAAGCTATAGCTTTACAGAGCTTTTATGTTATTATTCGCTGGGATCTCTACGGGCCTGTCCAGCACCAGTGCGGGGACAGAAGTCAGATGAGTGGGCTTGGCTCAATGCTACTTTACTACGAGGGTCAGCAGACTGTCTGTAAAAGGTTAGGCATTGAGGGCCACGGGGTCTTTGTTAGAAGTGCCCAACTCTGCGGTTGAAGGAAAAAAGCCATAGACTGTGTGTAAACAGGCAAGTGTTTCAATAAAATGCTATTTACAAAAGAAATGGACCCACTACGTTTGCCCCACAGACTGCATGTTCTGACCTGTGCTACACCTCCTCAAGCCCCACTTAGCCTTCTAGTCTCATAAACCACCTCACAACTGAACTGGCAACAGAAAGGATGATGTTGGGAGAAAAGGACACAGATGAGAGAATTCTGGCAAGGACGTGCTTGCACGGGAGCTCAGTCAGAGTCCAGGGCAGGCACATTCACCTCTCTTCCTCAGGCACCAAGGGGCTCCGGCTCAAAAGCGCTTGTCTGATGGGTGATTGGTTACCAAGAATTTCATGATGGAAGTAGGACCAGCAACAGAGTCCAGGCTGCCTCGCCCCTTACAGTTTGATTCACAACCAGAGCAGGGTAGGGAGGCCCAGCCCCACCCCAGACCGCAGGACACCACTGTTCTGTGCTCTGAGAAGAGGAAGGACCCAAGCAGCTCTCTGATACGGAGCGCCCTGCCACCTCACAACTGCCTGGAGCACACAGCCAAGCCTCCACCATGCTCCTGGGTGCACCATGTGACTGAATCCCTGCCCGGTCCCCACACCTTACCCTGCTGTGTCCCTGCCGGGCTCTGCTGTCACACTGAAGCCAGCACTCCACCCCACCCAAGATCGTGAGAACCACTCGCGAGCACTATCCACCCCACAGAAGCAGGCGGCTCCTGGGCAATAATCATTTCTTGGTGGTCACAGCAGGTCTAGGAAGAAAAGATGTCCTTTCATCATGGGTCCAGCCAGGAGACCGCCATTTTCTGTTCCCCAGAGACAGGGGAGCTGTCCTGCACAGGTGGAACCCCGGACTTAATGTCTGGGCCATGAGTCTGCAGGTGGCAAAGGGGCTGCTGCCGCTCAAAAGAATGCCCAGGTGAATTCAGCCAGAGACTTGAACCCTCACACTCGGGTGTGGGGTGAGGAGGGCAGAGCTTTGAGGCACCCAGAGCACTGCGCTCCTCGTCTGCCTGGCGTGAAGCAGGAACCTGAACAGCAGCACTCGCTCTCTGATGTGTGGGACCAGCAGAGTCCAGACTCGCACATGTGCTGACAGCCACCCAGGTGAGGAGGACCAAGCTGGCCAAGAGGTGAGGGAGCCTGTGGCCATGTCCAGCTGTGAACAGTGGTCAGCAGGAACCCCCCAACTGGATCCTCCACACCAGATCACAAACTGGTCATATCTGACCCCTGCTTATCTAGTGTTTTCCCTAAAATACACTGATAGTATTCTAAAAATTAAAAGTTTCACATAAAGATCTAGGTTTCTTATATCCTTTCAAAGAAATAGAGCTACAGCTCTCAGCTGCATCTTCCCTGGTCCTCATCAGCAGGATTCGAGGCTGAGCCCAGAAGAGGCTCATTTCTGACTCAGCGGGACCCTGTCTCCTTCCCTTCCCTGCCTCCTACCTACACAGTCAACCACAGCACATCCGCAAGCATCACCTGCCCCGCTGCCTCAGAAGCAGACTTGGGACGTGGAGAGAAGAGCCGGGACAGCAAGCAGGAGCAGCCCTCCAATTTCCTCTGTGCCAGCGCAAGTCTGCACTCACATCCTGAAGCACTGGTCACATTAGCTGCATGAGCAGGTCCCGGCTAGCCAGAAATGCCCGATTTGTACACTGCCCACCCACAGCCCGCGGGTTCCCTCGGCAGCTGCTGCACTGAGAGCAAGTCCCAAGTGCGGGGACCCGCAGGGGCCCCCGCACCACCCATATCCACTGCCATCCTGAGCAACGGGCGGGTCAGTCGGCCACACTACAGGGTTTCCCACCTACACAACTCACATCCTGGCTCCTTATGAGGCACAATGTCCCAGGCTGTGCATATGGCTCTATCTGACCCAGCGCCTCATAGCCACCACAATGACTTCCAGCAACCCTGAGGAGTTGGAGTTTCCATGTCTCCCACTTCTAGACAGGAAGCCTCTCAGGGCTGATGAACTGGACAGAGGCAGATGGTATTTTCCTTTGTGAATCTTCCTGTTTTGAACATGCTGTGATGGTCAGAGCTGCAGGAGCCATCTGGGAGCCATGAGGACAACAGAGCAAGTGGAAAGCACAAACAGATAGAATCTCACCGAGACGGAGCCCTGTGCTATCTTTGATCAGCCTTTCTCCGGCCTCTATAATGTGACAGAAATTAAACACCCTTACCGCTTAAGGTACTTTTTAGTGGTCATTCTTGGACTTTGAATTCTACCTCCTTCCACCTTTTCTCCAGCTTCTCAGCTTCCTGCTATGGCATAGATGGCTCTTTCTGCATCTAGAATAGCACGCCTCCCCAGGGAGCAATGGATAAGCCATTCCTGTCCACACTGCTGCAGCTCCACAGCCCAGGTCACAGCCTGCGCAGTTCCAGCAGGTGACCGAATCAGCTCACAACTCTTACAGTCAGGTGAGGGGAGTCAGGACTCATCAACACCCCACAGCCTCCTTGAAGTGGGTCTGACTTAGGGCTTATCAGGGGAGACACAATATGCCCTTCCCTCTCCCCCAGCACATGGGTGCCCTCTCCCCTCCACAGAGAGTGTGTGTGTGTCCTTTCTACGTAGCAGCCTGGGCTTCCCCCAGCACCTCTCGTTCTGGCCCTGGAAAGCAATATGTTCCTCCACTCTGAATCCACTGAAGGCAGACCCAGGCCACCGAGGTGGGCGAGAGGGAAGTGGGATCATGGTCACCCCTCCCAGATCTCAGCTGGCACTGAGTGCAGAGCTGAGCCACAGCAGACAGGCCAGTCAAGCCAGCGGGACTGAGGATCCACAGGGGATCCCCAACAGCCCATGGGGAGGCCAGTGGTGGGGACACTGTTCCCCACCTGCTGGTGATGAAGGGTGTGGCACCATGCCCTACACATGGCCTGCTCACTGGTTTTACTCCTTGGTGGCCTCCTCCACGCCAGCCTGCTTCCACGGACACCACAGCCAGACACAGTGAGTTACATTTAATAAGGACGGGGTGCAGGACGTGCCACCCCAAAATATGCCACCAGGGTGCACTGACTATTTTGAGATAAGGATACTTGAAAAGCAGCAGGTCCAAAAAGATCAAAAGTTCACTGTGATCCTCCTTCTTCAGAGAAGAGGCCACGTGAAATCCTCCCCCTGGACCAGGAGGAAAGTGTCGCTCTTATGGGGGAGCCGAGAATGGGAGCTGAGATCAACGACAGGAACAAAGCTTGTCAAGGGACCTTTTCTTCCCTTCACTGCCCCCCAGTGACCACACGGAGCCCCCCACTGTGTCTCAATTTCCTGAGTTCCTACTCCTTCTCTAACGTGCCACACAAAACTTGTGTCAAATAAATGCTGTATTTTTCCTGTCTTATATCAAAACCATGTTGCCCCTTCCCACAGAATACCAATCATACAGCACCCTCATCCCACAGGCTGGAACCACGGAATAAAAACTAGCATTTCGGGGCCAGGGATTTAGCTCAGCAGCATAAGTGCCTGCCTGGCAAGCACAGGGCCATGAGTTCGATGCCTGGTAAAAAAATCAAATCTAGCATTTTGTTTATCAGGTTGGAGTTCAGAAATGTCCTGGCGCTGCTTCCCGAGGCAGCGGAGATTTCTGGGAAAGGACTGGATCCAGCCGTGGGGGCAAGGCTTCTGAGGCAAAAGAGCAGAAGACTGGAGAACTCATTCACACAGTCCCTTCCCCCGAATTCACTGCTTTAAACACCTCAGGGGGCCAAGTATAATTAAATGACATTAATTAAAATACTAAAGATCAGAAAAGGGCAACCACAGGAGGGACAGTGGCCCGGCATCACAAAGATGGAAAATAGCAAAAATAGCACAATCCCTGCGCCTGAGAGCCCAGGTTGGGAGCTCGGCTGTGGAGGAGCCTCAGGGACACCGGCCCGTGGGACAGGCCTGGGGACTGAATCTGCTGCCTCTCTCCAGGGTGTCCTGGAGCCCTGCGGCCTTTGTAGATCATGATTAAACATTGTAACATGATTGCCCTCAGAAGCATCTATTCATGCAGCACGTGCCACTGCTTTTGGGTCTTAATACGCGGTCTCAGTGACTGGGTTTTGAATTAAAAAGAAAGCACTCTAGCATCCTGCTAAATTGTGGAGTGATTCTCTCACAGGGATGTCTCCAGCTCATCCTCCATTAGGTTTAGAAATGAAGCTCCTAAAGTCAGCAGTGCTATGGCTTCCACGTAGGGGGTTGAGGAATGTAGCAGATGGATGAATCCCAGACAGAGAGGTGAGAGGAGTCAGGCGAAAGTGGTCTCCAAAGCAGCCTGGCCCAATTCTCCTCCCAGGAGACAGAGCGCTGTCAGTCAGTGGTGTGCGCCTTCCAAAGATAATCTACAGATATGCAGTTTGATCTTTGCAGTTATAAAAACACTAGCAAAGTGTCTTCAAGGCACAAGATACAGATACAGATGTAGATATGCTTTTTACACATTCTCTATGATGAATGTGATCAGTACACGTATCTAAACGATACCAATAAACTTAATTTAAAAAATGAAAAGAATAGGGAGAATTCTTGACAGAAGGGCAACCTAACAAATACTGTCGGAGTCATTTACACAAATTCAAGTAGGTACTGAGCTGAAATTAGTAAATTTTAAGTGGAGAAGTTTTCTCCCCAAGCCGGAGCTTAGGAGCGGAGTTTTGAGCATGGGAGGGGATTAAACAGACAGAGAGAGGACAAAAGCAACCCTGCACGTGGAGGGACAAAGTCCAGGCAGCCAGAGCTGGCCCTGGGTCACTGTGGGACACTTGGAATCCACAAGTCATGGCGTATCTTTCTGGATTAATTCCAAGCATGTGCTTCACCCGTAACCCTTTGGCACTTTGGGGGGAAAATCAGGTAACAGTGGCCAGGTATATTTCAAGCCGGTAAATTCCTGTGCAGAAACTTGGTGATGCCTGACCTTGGAAGGATTTGCTGAGGATATGGGTACTCCTGGGACTGGGAGGTTCTTTTTAGCTATTCAACATGGACCGCCCTCCCCAAGGACAGGTTGCTTGGGACATCACAGCTGAGCAAAATCACCAGTCACTAATGGCAGAATCAAAAGGATTAGTGACATCAACTGGCCTTTTAGAAGTTATCAATATTTCATCTAAATATTGCAACCACAATATCTGTTCTATTGACAGCTGCTTTTTCCTAGGGCAGTGTCGGTCTGCTCTGAAGGTCTAAGAGAGATTTTTGGAGGTGAGATTCCCAGGTTAAAGAACACATGCACCCTACACATCAGCAACAACAGCAGGTGGCGTGGAGCAGAGCAGAACACAAGAGTGCAGAGCCCAAGAGCCACCTGAGCTTTATTGCATAATTCTTACACATGTTTTTCTCCATCTTTGCATTCTTCCATGCTAGCATCATTGGTGCATGCATAGTTGTCCACTGCTAGTCGTGGTTATATAACTGTACCCCATTGTGTTCTGTCATTAAAGAAAGGTCACATCCTCAGGTACCCTTAGATGCCCCGGAGCTTTGAATCAGTCTGAGTGGTTCTCCACAGGCAATGATAGTGAATCTTCTGGAGAATAAGCACCAAAACTGCCACCCAAAACTCACTTATTTATCACCAAATGCCAACACTGAAGATAAACCTGAATACTGAGGTTTTAGTTTAGAAAAAACAACTCTTATCCAATGGTCTGCTGCTGGCGTGACTTGGCTCAGCTGCCAACAGAGAGGGCTCTGCATGCTCACTGTGCCACACATGCCATAGGTCTGCCAGCATGGGCCTAGAAAACAAAGACAGCACACTTTTTGTATCTTGGCTTTCAAAACTTTCGCCACTACATAGTTCTGCTAACTCTCAATGATATCTCTAGAAAAGTATCTCTGCACGTTTCTGTGAATGTCTGAGGTAACTGTGGTCCCTGACCTGATGTTCTGTGGACACTTTCTAAGGTATCTCTCCTGGTTGGGGCTGAGTGGTTGCACACAATGCAAAATCACATTGCCCAGGTATTGCTAGCTAAGACGTGCTTCTAGCCTGGCTTCCCATTGTATGTTAGAAGTAACAAGTCTCCAAAAAAAAGTAAGGTGTTTTCAGCAAAAAGAAAAAAGGACATTCACAGATTTTATTAACTGGAACACATTTCCTCTCTAATAACTGTTGGTTCATTTCATAAAATCCTCAGGTTTGCCTGGTGACTTAGTCCTGAAGTCTCACAGGCTCACAGTCATCTTGGATTCCCTCTTCTCCAGCCTCTTCCGGTGGCTGCCGTTTTGAACGAGTCCCCGAGCCCACACCTGCACACCCTGTCTAGCTTTCTCGCTAGGCTCCAGTCCGCAGTCTCCCTCCTTCCTCACCATAGCAGCCTCTGAGCAAGTACGCCTTACCTCTGGTCTCCCCTGACCTGATCTCTCCGTGGGGTTACGAGTCAGCTTCCAAAGCACAGATCTTGTACTCTTCATCTTGGGGACACGTTCGTGACCTCCAGCATAAAAGCTACCCTCTTTGGCTTGACCTCAGGTCCCTCCCCGGGCCCCATCTACCCAGCTTCACTGCTTTCATGTTTACCCGTGCCCCAGCCCTTCAGCACCCTGAGTTACGTGAGCTCCTGGAATAGACTGTGACCTCATATCGTGTCAGGGCTTCTCCCTGACACTGCCTGCCTCTGGAACCTCTGCTTCCCTCTCCACTCTCCTCATTATCCAAACCCAGTTTCAAACCCCGACCCTTCTAGGAGCTGTCACCTCCACCCCTTGTAGAGTCTCTCCCAGGAGACTGCATAGGACAGAAACCCAAATCTGATCCTGCTTTAAGGGAGCCAAGTTGCAGAAGGAAGATGTAAACTGTCCTCAGGATTATTCCCAATTTAAATTTACGGTTCTAAAAAGCTTTCCCCATATCTTAGATATGCTGGATTGCCACAGATAATTGCAATTTGCATTACTGTAAAATATGAGTCTGAGTGAAAGAAGTAATTTCTGTTTCTTCGTGTCCTGTGAAATTAAACCATTACTTACATTTCCCTCCCAAGACTGCAGGTTTCCATATCTGCTTGTAGCAAATCTAAACCTTATCTCTTTATGTTTCAATTTTGTAGCACTCTGTCATTGTTTGAGAGTTTTTTTAAGAGTAAGATGGCACTGTGATAGGATTATTGTATTTACATACTACATACTAATTATACACATTCAAATCAGAGCAAAAATAAGACAAAAATTCTCCTATAAGCCCACTTCACATATAAATCCACACCCACACAAGGTAACATCACCACAGACTGAATTTATACAGAAACTGTGATATGCTACTTGCACAGTTTTTGAAGTATTTAATTTAACATGGATTGTATTCAACAGAAGAAAAAGGCATTGATGAGAACTAAACAAATGCTAAACTTGAGTTGTTTCTTTGCTAAAGAAATTCCTGAAAGTTCCCTTTAAAATCAGGAAATGTTTACTTAGCTACGGAAGAGGCAGAAGTCAGATATTTGCGCTGTACATTTGAATGTTGGCACAGTGCTAGAGTTCACTCACTCATCCCTCAGACACTTGCCACAGGCAGGACTCTGTCAGGGCAACGGCAGTCCAACCTCGTAGTCCATAAAGAATAATTTCAGATGGGGCTCTGTGCTAAGAAGAGAAAGGACAGAGTGTTTGAGGGAGCAGATAATATGGAACAGTCACAGAGAGCTTCTCCAGGGATGAGAGCGGCTGGAGGTGAAGGGGAAGCGAGGTGTGAACACGTGTGGGGAAGGGCACCGCAGGCGAGGGAACCACGTACCCACCCGAGGCTGAACCCGTGTGAGCTCACGGTACTGCACACAGACCATGTGGGAGGACCGGAGCGAGAAGCTCAAAACGGGGCAGGAAACGAGGGAGAGCTGGAGGCCAGGCCACGCGGAACTGCACAAACCCGAGGAGATCTGCATTTCACTCCATTGGTAGTGAGAAGCCATCCTCAGCGTTGGCAAAGGAGTGGCAGGAGCTGGTGGACACTGGGGAAGCTGCGGTAACTGATGTGGGACCACCCTGTGGGGAGTGGGCCAGAGAAAAAGTGGGGAGCCTGGCTACAGGTGCACCCGGAGGCTCACTGGTGAGTGGAACATGGAGCACGTACTGGTTTCCTACGGTTCTGTACTACAGTACCGCGCCCAGGAGGCCAGAAGCCCTGGAAATGTAGTGTCACAGTCTCCAGCCCAGACGTCAGCTGCAGGCCGGGCTCCCCAGGCACGCCGAGGGGGCCCTTACTTGCCTTTTCCTAGCTTCCAAGGGTCTGCCAGCAGGTTTTGGCATTATTTGTCCTACAGCTGCATTAAGTCCCCCTCTGCCTTTGATGTCATGTGGCCTTCTCCCCACCTGTCACCATCATCTCATAGGGACACCGCTCACATCAGATTAGGGGTCCACTCAACTCTAATATGACATCACCCTCACTAATTACATCTACAAACTTCCATCCTAATGAGCTCACATTCTCAAGTACTGGTAGGAAGTATTTCAGTGCACTTTCGGACAGAAATTGGCCCAGGAAAATCATTCAGTCCAAAAAGTTCATATCACGGTAGAATAGGGGTGAGAAAGATGCCCTGACCTCAGAAATGACATTAGTGATGGTGTCATTTATGGAAAAAAGGGCGATGGAGAGGAAGTGCACAAGCACATTCATGACAAGCAGCAAATAAACAACAGCCTTAAAATACTACAGCACAGCTAGCTATGAAATAAGGAGCTGGAGCATAGAAAGATCAGTAGTGCTTTCAAATTTGGAGGTCAGAAGGGAAGAAGGGGCTGGACAGGGAAACATGCACACCATGAGGGCACCTGGAGTGTCAAGCCCTGGAGTGAGATGAGGAAACGAGGAAGAAAACCCAGGAAGGAGAGACACAAGCTCTGAGCTCTGACCCTTGGGACACTCCAGAGGGGAGGTGGCAAAGGACAGGCAAGGACGGGCCACGGCAGTGACAGAGCAGGTGAATGGGCGGAGACCAGCAGAGGCAGCCTCTCAAAGGCCAGTGCAGAAAGAGCTTTGAGAAGACAGAGGACACCTGCACATGAGGTGGGGAGAGGGAGCTGCAGGGCGCATGAGCAGAGGCTGCTGAATGCAACCCAGGCGTCACCTGTGGCCTGGATAAAGGTGGTTTCTGCTGCGTGGTGGCAGTTAGATCTGTTTCACTGAACCCGGGAAGATGCTTTAGGCATCAGGGAAACATATAAATAAAATTAAAACTGGAACAGCATATGGGGCGTCTCAGAAGAGTTAATTTATAGGATATACTGCTATATATTTAAGTGGTGATGAGATGGCTCAGTGGAGAGAATTGTGGCTGGAGAGAGATGGTAATTATAGCAGTAAAGCTGTGAGAAGGACATGGGGTTTGCACTCGGGGCAGAAGGGGAACAGGCCTCAGGCAGGAGCACGGGTTTGTCCTTCAAAACAGAAGGAAAGTCACAGTAACAGATGTGCGTAGGTGTGTAGGCCTAGGATTGGAAATTAACGAGGGGCTATTCTAACCACTGTTAAAGCTAGAGCACTAGCTTAGACTGAAAAGGTGGGTGGAGGTTGGAAGGAGGCTGGTGCGGTTATCCAGGAGGATGCACACAGGAGCAGGCCAGGAGAGTAGGGCCGATGTGCCCAGGTGGGTGGTCCACAATTTAGAGCGAGGCCACAGAGCACGGCTGCAGTTTTCCTCGAGTCACGTTTAGCCACACGGTTGTAGGTGGAGGTGACCAGAGCGCTGCCTTCCACAGGCTGCTGTGCAGGACAAGGGGACAGGGGGAGGCTGCCGGCAGCTGGGAGAGTGAGGGAATCATCCTAATGAAATGGGAGGTGAAGCAGACTTGATTTCCTGAGCGGAGGGCCTCCGAAGGCCCAGGGATTGACGAAATTGAAACCAGAGGAAGCATGCAAGGAAGAGAAGAGCTGGTTATGGAGGGGAAAGACTGAGGGCAGATCCAGGAGGCCGCGTGGTTACAGCAGGTGGTGAGTGAAACGGGACAGGAAGCACACACAGGAGGAGAGGAGCCCGGAGCCCGAGAGGCCAGGGAGAGCTGGGTCCTGACAAGGCGCTGAGGTCCCAGGCTGCATAATTAGAGATGGGCACAAACCCACTGCTAGCGTTTCAGTGAAGGCGTGATCAGGAGGAATGACCACCACAACTGGGCATAAGTGCCTCAAGGAGAAGTGATCAGTGACGTATCCGATGGAGGGACAGTGAAAGTGACCAGGCACCAGCAGTAAAATATCAGGGCACTCGCCCATTCTCCTGCCACGCCCGGCACACAGGGCATAGATCCCTGGGTGACTTCTCTCCTCCCTGCATTCTCCTGGAACTCCCTCCCTCTGCCCACCTACCTTCCTGGCTGAACTGCCCTCAGCTGGGTCCAAAAGCAGAGGGGATTTAAGAAGTAATACTTTTGCAACATCTGTAGATGCGTTTAGGGGGTTCCTGGAATCTGGGGGACAGGTAAATTTTCATGTGGGTGGTGTTTTCCCTCTGATGTGCTTGGGACTCCAATCCCTGAGACCAGCTGTGCAGAGATGGGCTTCATATATGTTCTCCTTGCTGGAGCCCAGTGCCCTCCTGGTAGCTGCTTTGGTCCCCACAGGCCAAAGCCCAGGCTGGTCCTCCCATACTGTCCCCACCTGCTCGGGAGGGAACATGTGTGGCTCTGTAACCTCACCCATACAGGAGAGCTAGGTGACCTGGAGAAGATCTCTTTCTCTTTGTTTTTCTGCCTTGGGCTAAGAACCTGCTGCAGCCTCCTGCCCACAGATATTACAGGCCTACGCCTATGACTGGTCCACTGTGTCCCTCAGCCTGCTCCACCAGGAAGCCCTCCTCCCTACCTCAGGGACAGTCTCAAAGCCCTGGCCCGCTGAGCACTGCCCCCTAGCTGACAAAGGGAACATGCAGAGCCCCGCGATCACTTTCTCAGACAGTTTCTCTCTTGCTTTCAATGTTCTCTCTTGCACACTCTTGGGAGAGTGATGTGCTAGGGAAAAATACACAAAATAAAACAAGATTTGTTCTGTTTCCTGCTCCCTGGGGGGGGGGGGGAGCAGCTTTTTTCTGCTATGCCTTTCTGCCTTCCAGTCAGCCAATGAGGGGCTCAAGCCTCTGAAACCAGCAATGAAAAGAACCATTTTCTCCTTGAAATTGTGCATGTGACAACTTTTTCTCAAAAGTGATTAATGTGGAAAAATTGATACCGAAGAAGCTGGGTCACCACTGTGACTGGACCTGCCCCGAGGTTTAGAAGCCCTTGGAACAAACTTGCTGGAGATGTCTGGGGAGGTTTGGAGACACAGCCTGGAGAAGCCCTAGAATGCTCTGAGCAGAGCTGGACAGCTGATTCTCCTCCCAAGACCAGGAAGCTAGCGGGACTGTGAATAGTAAAGGCCAGGCTCAAGGAGTTTCAGATGGAGATGGGGACTCTACTGAGAATGGGAGTACAGGCTGTTCATATACCATTCTGAGAAAGACCTGTCTACGTTTTGTCCATGTGCTGAGACTCTATACAAGGCTGAATTTAAAGGTGGCTCATTAATCTGGTGGAGGAATTTCAAGGCAATACA